AGAAGCATAGTGAGTTGTCAAGAGTGTTTGGAAGATAAAGTCCATCCATCTCAGTTTTAAGGACTTGTTTGCTTTCTTTTTCAGTTTTAATTATTCTTTCGTAGTATTCTTTTTGGTCATGGTAAGGGTCGACCCGTTCCTTTTTAAATTCTCCTTCTCTTTGTTAACCTTTTTGCTCTAACTCTTTAATTATCTTATTTCTTTGACTTACTCTCTCCTTCCATTTTTTAAAATAAGCAAAACCTACTAAATGAGGATGGGTTTTGCTTTTCATCTCTTCTAAACCTTTAAAAGTGCTTAGTGATGATCAGGAGGGAAACTTCTGAAGTGAGACAACATAAACCCACTCGCAAGCAATCCAATCCAAATTTTAATTACCCAAGTTATGAACTGCCATTTCAAAGTGGGTTTAATATTTTTCTTTGAACCGGTACTAGCCACTCTGTTTTTCTCTTCTTTTTTTAGGATTCGGTTTGGACTTTTCAAGCGAACTTACGGTAAGTTTTTTATAGGTAGGCAGGTTAATTCTTCTTTTGAAACAGTACTAATCATTTTTTCTTTTTTCTTTTTTTTAAAAATCGGCTTGGACTTTTTTTCGAAACGGACTAGTGGTAAGTTTTTTATGGGTGGGTTGTTAATTCTTTCTTTTGGAACAGTACTATCTTTCTTCTTTTTTTTTAGGAATCGGCTTGGACTTTTTCTCGAAATGGATTAGTGGTAAGTTTTTTATAGGTGGGTTGTTAATTTTTTCTTTTGGAACGGTATTAACCATTTTTTTCTTTTTTCTTTTTTTAGAAATCGGCTTGGACTTTCTCTCGAAACGGATTTGTGGTAAGTTTTTTATGGGTGGGGTTGTTAATTCTTTCTTTTGGAACGGTACTAACCATTTTTTTTTTAGGAATCAGCTTGGACTTTTCTCGAAACGGACTCGTGATAAGTTTTTTATGGGTGTGTTGTTAATTATTTCTTTTGAAACGGTACTAACCATTTTTTTCTTTCTTCTTTTTTATAGGAATCGACTTGGACTTTCTCTCGAAATGGACTCATGATAAGTTTTTTATGGATGGGTTGTTAATTCTTTCTTTTGGAACAGTACTAACCGTTTTTTCTTCTTTTTTTTAGGAATTGGCTTGGACTTTTCTCGAAACGGACTCGTGGTAAGTTTTTATGGGTGTGTTGTTAATTATTTCTTTTGGAACGATACTAATCATTTTTTTCTTTCTTTTTTTTTTAGGAATCAGCTTGGACTTTCTCTTGAAACAGACTCGTGGTAAGTTTTTTATAGATGGGTTGTTAATTCTTTCTTTTGGAACGGTACTATCTTTCTTCTTTTTTTAGGAATCGGCTTAAACTTTCTTTCGTGATAAGCTTTTATGGGTAGGTGGGATTCTTTCATTTAAAATAATACTAACTATTCTCTTTTCTTTCTTTTTAGAAATCAGCTTAGACTTTTTCTTGTAGTAAGCTTTTATGGGTAGGCAGGATTCTTTCATTTAGAATGATACTAACCGTTCTTTTTTCTTTTTCTTTTTCTTTTAGAAATTGGCTTGGGCTTTCTCTCGAAACAGACTTGCAGTAAGTTTTTTATTGATAGATGGAGTTTTTCTTTTACTTTTATGAAATATATTAATGTTTCTTCATATGAGTTCTTTATTTTTATGACTACGCAGTTTAACATTGAAGAAATGATTTGCAAAGTCACTAATTATAAGGTTCTCAGAGAATTGCCCTTACAAAGGACTTCCGTGTAGATTTTTAACTAATATAAGCAAACATTAAAATTTTTAGTTAAAACAAGATCGACGGAATTTTTAGTTCAATT